CCCCCAAATACGTTTTGTCACTGTAATTCGAATCCATCCGAGAAACTCAACCCGCTCCTGAACAGGTTTACGATCCCGAACCCGAAATTGTTCGGGAAACCTAACCCGAACATTCCAACCCCAAAAAATGCGAAAAAGGAAAAACACCCGTTCGAAAAGAGAAGATTGCGTCTCAACAATGGCAACAGGAGGAAGATTTGATTTTAGCGCAATCATGGGTCGATATTTCAGAGGACTCCAAGAAAGGTAATGCACAAATAGATGAACATTTTATTGCGACGCATATGGGAGCAATTTCTTATGGTGATGGATCGTGGCGAGCACCACAATAAAGATCAATATACTAGCAAGTTTCGCAAGATGAACAAATATGTTACTAAATTTAACGACATTTACAATAATTTGTTAACTCAACGGAAATGCGGTGAACAAATTTTAGAGACGGCGCATAAAAATTTTCTTGTTGACAATAATATGAAGCCGTTCAAGTTTGTCGATGTTTGAAGGTTTTTATCCAAGTCCCCGAAATGGATAAAAGAATATGGTAACGAATAAGGTGGTGAGAAAATAACCAAAGTTTCCGAGACGAATTACACTACTTCATCGGATGCACATTTTGGGGTTGATTTGAATGAAGTGGATGCGCTCGAACTTGAAGAGGTAGTTCGACCGATGGGTCGGAATGTGGCGAAAAAGAGAGGCTCGTCGTCGAATACATTGGGAACGGAAAGAAGTGATGAAGTACATAGAGTTGTCACTAATTTGGAAATTTATAATTTGAATTTCCAGAGTTGTTTGAGTTTTGAAAAAGAGAAGTTGGAGGAGAAAAAAATATCAAGAGAGCAGAAGTAACGAGCTCGAGAGGAGAAACAAAAAAGTCGGAATATAGAATTTTTAAAAAAACTTTTTGATCACTTCACCGGAAACGAGCTAGATATGGTTTTGAGGGCTAGAACGGACATCATGAAAAAAATATTAAAACTAGTGTTTTTTATTTATAAAAATTATTGTTTTTAAGTTGTTTTTTTTGTTTGTTGTTTTTAGGAATGTAATAGTTTTAATTAAATTAATGAAGCGTTTTTTTTATTAAATTATATTTTATTCAATTAATAAAAATAAAAACTAATAAAAAAAATAAAAGTATAGTAAAGTATGGTATGACACCCACCAGTTTCATAAAATGAGAGAAAAAATGACGTGACAATGCAA